ACTGATCCACCTTCTTATTGTAATAACATCATTGAGTCTTTTAGAGCATGTACCTACCACAGGGGTGCCAAATGTTTTAGAACTAAAACTCGTGATGCCTTGCCATTCTAAAGGTATTCCATAGGCAGGCAAAGCATCGTGGAAGCTGTAATTTTAAAACATCTGGGTATCTACCTGCTTTGGAGTGTTCGGAGGCTGACTTCTTATTCGGGAAGGGAACTTCTTTGGCGGCTTTAACCCCTCTATACCCGGGGTGCCGTTACACCAACCATTTATTATAAATTAACCATGGTAGGGGTATACCCGGATACCCCTACCCCACCAGGTTCTGAGCCACCGACAGGACTCGAAACCTACCAAACATACCAATAACCATTAACATAACTTTCCTAATGGGGAACCTATTTCCTCTCTTTAGGAGTTTTTCCTTAAATTGGGCTCACCTGGCAATCTAATTATCACAGGTGTCCGTGATTGTTTTTAGTGATCAAAAGAGCCCTGAGACACAATGCCATCCATGAGTTAAACTGAAAAACAAAATATTTCATCTTTGTGACACTTAAATAGAATTTGCATAATAATTTGGAACAGGGTGTATATATGCGTCTGTGTGTATGTGTGCTTGAATGTATGTATGTATTTATATATGTGTCTCTGTGTGTGTGTGTCTGTATGTATGTATGTATGTCTGTGTATACAGTGGCGTATATACAGGGGTCGCAGCTGCGACCATGCCAGTCACTCCAGAGGGCCCAGTTTCCCTGTGACCAGGTGCCCACCGCAATGTGTTGCGACCTGGCCTGCGCGGTGTAACCCATGGATCAGTTTTCACAGCGGGGCCCCATGTGTACACCACTGCTCCACTCTAATTGAATAGACTTCCCCCACTCCACTTTAATACACTGCCCTCCCTACCCCTAATTTAACTCCCTGCCCCCCACCACTCTAATACACTGTCCCCTCCCTCCCATTAATACACCACCACCCCTCCAATTAATATGCTGCCCTCCTCCCTTCTTCCTCCCATTAATACACTAAGGGAAGGGGGAGTGGCTGGCACTGCGAGCAGGAGAGAACAGGGAGTGGCTGTCACTGCAAGCAGGAGGGAAGGGGGAGTGGCTGGCACTGTGAGCAGGAGGGAACGGGGAGTGGCTGGCACTGCGAGCTGGAGGGATGGGGGAGTGGCTGGCACTGCGAGCAGGAGGGAAGTGGGAGTGGTTGTTAAAGCGAGCAGGAGGGAAAGGGGAGTGGCTGGTACTGCGAGCAGGAGGGAAGGGGGAGTGGCTGGCACTGCAAGCAGGAGGGAAGGGGGAGTGGCTGGCACTGCAAGCAGGAGGGAAAGGGGAGTGGCTGGCACTGCAAGCCGGAGGGAATGGGGAGTGGCTGTTCTTTGTCTGCTCAGCAGACACACAGACACTCTGCCCTCTTGTGGCCGGGAGAGCAAAAATCAGGAAATATTTTTCCTGACTTGCTGGTCGCAGCCACAGCTGAAAGTGGCCACAGGCTAAGTGGGCCGCATGTTTGACATGCTTGATGTACATTCTCTAACCGTGCTGGCTCACTCCTTTATAAGCTTTCTTAAAGCTATCCCAAAACAGAAAGAGGGTGGCGCACTCTGTGTAATATTGCGGTTACGAAGAAACTCTGTTTTGGTTTGGATTATCTTTCATGGTGGAATTGTGTGATTGATTTCACAATGGGAATTGGCTGCACTTTAAAATGTTTGTATATTTTGGTTTCTCAAAGCTATGTTACCATGGCCGACTACTCTTCTAAAACAGGCCGGTTCTTACAGTGATAACAGTCCTTGTATAGTGTCTTTATATGAGTCCAGGTAACAGCTCCTACTTCTGTCTTTATTTAGAAATCAGACGATTTGAACAAATATTAATCTTATCTCATGGACTCCTTTAGTAACTGAATACCCAGAGCTCTCACTAATGAAGAGTAAGATTTGTAGAGACGCACTGGGGTGCATGTGCAGCAATATTGCAACCTATATCTGGGGTGGAAACCTGGATCTAATTAAATAACTTAATGTTTCTGTAGAAAGACTACAGATGGTTAACATTAAGAAATATAT